TGGCACTAAAATAACATTTTATCTGTTCATTAGTCACATCCCCAGGCCCCTCTTACATTTCTTTTGCTTTCCACTTTGATTTTTTTATCCTCACAAACAAAATAAGATTTACTGTTATGCAGACTACTGCATTAGTGTAGAAATGGTATAAATAATATCGGCGCACTTGTGAGAGAATATTAGACTTGCCAGTTGATGTGTATTGGACGCTTAGCATGATTTGTTTACTTTTGAACTTTGGTAAAAATCGAACATTTCTGCTACTTTGAGCTCAATTTCAAGGTACTTTTCATTGTAAAACCAGTCAAAATCATCTCAATTTCTGTAATATGTCTTCCATTCTATACAATGAGACCAGGAAAACTAGAATACAACAATAAATACCATACAAAAATACAGTGCGAATTCGCTGTTTTAAACCAAAAAACATGGTCAAAGTTTTTTTTTTCTCATTACGCACTGTGTGCTGCAGGAATTTTTTTATACTGCGAACACTGACCACATAAACCCATTCTTTCATATGTAGGCCTACCAGCTTTCTCTTGCTAGATTTGAGGGCGCTAGAATTTATGCGCACTAGTACGTCAAAAACCCTGGCGCATAAGCCGTACTAGTACGGCCAAAACCCCGAAAGGGTTAAGGGTTATTTTTGGGCTAAAGTAAACTGTGGATAACTGAAGCAGCGGATATCGAATCCGTGGATATGGGGGCCCTACTGTATGAGCTTAACTCTCTTTACTCTCCCCACGAGTCTGTTAAATTGTAGGTTTTCTGTATCTTCACGTTTCCCTAGAACATACCATACCAAACGTGAAGTTGCCTTTTATATGAGACTTGTTGCATTTCTTGTAGTTGGGATGATGGTATGTTTTTAGCGTGTGGAGAAACCTATTAAATAGTTTTCTTTATAGCCATTTTTGCTGTCTTCTTTCATGTGTTATTATGCCTTCTTTGTTTACATTATTGGAGATACAAGGAGACTATGTTTGGGTAATATATATTCAGGTAGTAGGTTGGTAGACAGCAACCACCCAGGGAAGTACTACCGTCCTGCCAGATGACTGTGAAACAAAAACCTGTAACTGTTTTGCATGATGGTAGGATTGCTGGTTTCTTTTTCTGTCTCATAAACACGCTAAGATAACAGGGATATCTTGCTACTCCTACTTACACTTTGGTCACACTTCACAGACACGCACATGCATATATATATATACATACATCTAGGTTTTTCTCCTTTTTCTAAATAGCTCTTGTTCTTTTTTATTTCTTCTATTGTCCATGGGGAAGTGGAAAAGAATCTTTCCTCCGTAAGCCATGCGTGTCGTATGAGGCGACTAAAATGCCGGGAGCAATGGGCTAGTAACCCTTCTCCTGTATACAATTACTAAAAAAGAGAAGAAGAAAAACTTTATAAAAACTGGGTTGCTTAAATGTGCGTGGATGTAGTGCGGATGACAAGAAACAGATGATTGCTGATGTTATGAATGAAAAGAAGTTGGATGTCCTGGCCCTAAGCGAAACAAAGCTGAAGGGGGTAGGAGAGTTTCAGTGGGGGGAAATAAATGGGATTAAATCTGGAGTATCTGAGAGAGTTAGAGCAAAGGAAGGGGTAGCAGTAATGTTAAATGATCAGTTATGGAAGGAGAAAAGAGAATATGAATGTGTAAATTCAAGAATTATGTGGATTAAAGTAAAGGTTGGATGCGAGAAGTGGGTCATAATAAGCGTGTATGCACCTGGAGAAGAGAGGAATGCAGAGGAGAGAGAGAGGTTTTGGGAGATGTTAAGTGAATGTATAGGAGCCTTTGAACCAAGTGAGAGAGTAATTGTGGTAGGGGACTTGAATGCTAAAGTAGGAGAAACTTTTAGAGAGGGTGTGGTAGGTAAGTTTGGGGTGCCAGGTGTAAATGATAATGGGAGCCCTTTGATTGAACTTTGTATAGAAAGGGGTTTAGTTATAGGTAATACATATTTTAAGAAAAAGAGGATAAATAAGTATACACGATATGATGTAGGGCGAAATGACAGTAGTTTGTTGGATTATGTATTGGTAGATAAAAGACTGTTGAGTAGACTTCAGGATGTACATGTTTATAGAGGGCCACAGATATATCAGATCACTTTCTAGTTGTAGCTACACTGAGAGTAAAAGGTAGATGGGATACAAGGAGAATAGAAGCATCAGGGAAGAGAGAGGTGAAGGTTTATAAACTAAAAGAGGAGGCAGTTAGGGTAAGATATAAACAGCTATTGGAGGATAGATGGGCTAATGAGAGCATAGGCAATGGGGTCGAAGAGGTATGGGGTAGGTTTAAAAATGTAGTGTTAGAGTGTTCAGCAGAAGTTTGTGGTTACAGGAAAGTGGGTGCAGGAGGGAAGAGGAGCGATTGGTGGAATGATGATGTAAAGAGAGTAGTAAGGGAGAAAAAGTTAGCATATGAGAAGTTTTTACAAAGTAGAAGTGATGCAAGGAGGGAAGAGTATATGGAGAAAAAGAGAGAAGTTAAGAGAGTGGTGAAGCAATGTAAAAAGAGAGCAAATGAGAGAGTGGGTGAGATGTTATCAACAAATTTTGTTGAAAATAAGAAAAAGTTTTGGAGTGAGATTAACAAGTTAAGAAAGCCTAGAGAACAAATGGATTTGTCAGTTAAAAATAGGAGAGGAGAGTTATTAAATGGAGAGGTAGAGGTATTGGGAAGATGGAAGGAATATTTTGAGGAATTGTTAAATGTTGATGAAGATAGGGAAGCTGTGATTTTCGTGTATAGGGCAAGGAGGAATAACATCTTGTAGGAGTGAGGAAGAGCCAGTTGTGAGTGTGGGGGAAGTTCGTGAGGCAGTAGGTAAAATGAAAGGGGGTAAGGCAGCCGGGATTGATGGGATAAAGATAGAAATGTTAAAAGCAGGTGGGGATATAGTTTTGGAGTGGTTGGTGCAATTATTTAATAAATGTATGGAAGAGGGTAAGGTACCTAGGGATTGGCAGAGAGCATGCATAGTTCCTTTGTATAAAGGCAAAGGGGATAAAAGAGAGTGCAAAAATTATAGGGGGATAAGTCTGTTGAGTGTACCTGGTAAAGTGTATGGTAGAGTTATAATTGAAAGAATTAAGAGTAAGACGGAGAATAGGATAGCAGATGAACAAGGAGGCTTTAGGAAAGGTAGGGGGTGTGTGGACCAGGTGTTTACAGTGAAACATATAAGTGAACAGTATTTAGATAAGGCTAAAGAGGTCTTTGTGGCATTTATGGATTTGGAAAAGGCGTATGACAGGGTGGATAGGGGGGCAATGTGGCAGATGTTGCAAGTGTATGGTGTAGGAGGTAGGTTACTGAAAGCAGTGAAGAGTTTTTACGAGGATAGTGAGGCTCAAGTTAGAGTATGTAGGAAAGAGGGAAATTTTTTCCCAGTAAAAGTAGGCCTTAGACAAGGATGTGTGATGTCACCGTGGTTGTTTAATATATTTATAGATGGGGTTGTAAGAGAAGTAAATGCGAGGGTCTTGGCAAGAGGCGTGGAGTTAAAAGATAAAGAATCACACACAAAGTGGGAGTTTGTCACAGCTGCTCTTTGCCGATGACACTGTGCTCTTGGGAGATTCTGAAGAGAAGTTGCAGAGATTGGTGGATGAATTTGGTAGGGTGTGCAAAAGAAGAAAATTAAAGGTGAATACAGGAAAGAGTAAGGTTATGAGGATAACAAAAAGATTAGGTGATGAAAGATTGAATATCAGATTGGAGGGAGAGAGTATGGAGGAGGTGAACGTATTCAGATATTTGGGAGTGGACGTGTCAGCGGATGGGTCTATGAAAGATGAGGTGAATCATAGAATTGATGAGGGAAAAAGAGTGAGTGGTGCACTTAGGAGTCTGTTGAGACAAAGAACTTTGTCCTTGGAGGCAAAGAGGGGAATGTATGAGAGTATAGTTTTACCAACGCTCTTATATGGGTGTGAAGCGTGGGTGATGATGTTGCAGCGAGGAGAAGGCTGGAGGCAGTGGAGATGTCATGTCTGAGGGCAATGTGTGGTGTGAATATAATGCAGAGAATTCGTAGTTTGGAAGTTAGGAGGAGGTGCGGGATTACCAAAACTGTTGTCCAGAGGGCTGAGGAAGGGTTGTTGAGGTGGTTCGGACATGTAGAGAGAATGGAGCGAAACAGAATGACTTCAAGAGTGTATCAGTCTGTAGTGGAAGGAAGGCGGGGTAGGGGTCGGCCTAGGAAGGGTTGGAGGGAGGGGGTAAAGGAGGTTTTGTGTGCGAGGGGCTTGGACTTCCAGCAGGCATGCGTGAGCGTGTTTGATAGGAGTGAATGGAGACAAATGGTTTTTAATACTTGACGTGCTGTTGGAGTGTGAGCAAAGTAACATTTATGAAGGGATTCAGGGAAACCGGCAGGCCGGACTTGAGTCCTGGAGATGGGAAGTACAGTGCCTGCACTCTGAAGGAGGGGTGTTAATGTTGCAGTTTAAAAACTGTAGTGTAAAGCACCCTTCTGGCAAGACAGTGATGGAGTGAATGATGGTGAAAGTTTTTCTTTTTCGGGCCACCCTGCCTTGGTGGGAATCGGCCGGTGTGATAATAAAAAAAAAAAAAATAATATTCAGATAGTGCCATCTTTTATGAAGAGAAAGAGGCAATGACTGAATTAAAAAAAAATTTAAGTATACTGTAAATTATTATTTATCATTATATTATACTGGTATTAATAGAGGCCATAATAGTATAAGGAGGGGGTGTTAATGTTTCAGTTTAAAAACTGTAGTGTAAAGCACCCTTCTGGCAAGACAGTGATGGAGTGAATGATGGTGAAAGTTTTTCTTTTTCGGGCCACTCTTCCTTGGTGGGAATCGACCAGTGTGATAAAAAAAAAAAAAATAATAGTATAAGAAATAAATTATGTGATCCACATAGAAAAAATAACTATAAAGATGAGTACCAAAATTTTCAATTACCTGTGAAAACTGAAGTGATAATAATTTATTTTTTCGTTTTCAGATTCATGGAGCAGCATCCAGAGATGGACTTCTCGAAGTGTAAATTCAATTAAATGTTTGTATTGTACTTAAGTATTAAAGGTTGCTGATCCATTTATTGTAATTTTTCACTTGAATTTCACTTGAATTAATTTTTTAATTTTATTATTATTTCACTATTTGTAATATATTGTTAATGGTTCACATTCATAACTCATTCCAAACACTTTTCTTGTTAAATAAATATTGGTCAAAGAAGAGTAAAAGTACTTACTTTTCTCCACTTAATTTTTGTAATAAATTAACATTTTCATTGTGATTACATTTTCTAAATATCCTAGTAAGCTAAGTATGTTAGACTGACCCTAACAGTAAAAAAGATGAATAACTTAGTGGGTAAAGTTATACAATGGTGTTTAACACAAGCAGGAGGTACAATGGTTGTGGTCAACGAATCAACGAATTTGAGCTACAGTACCTTTTTAATCCTTGGATGAAACTGAATTCTCTCTCACCCTTCCCAGTGTCCAGGTGCTGTATGAGTCTTTTAAAGTTTAGCATTTAACCATGATAAGTAGTAATATAAATTAGTGTCTATACTTGTTAGTAAGTATAATGGTGTAGTTAAACAGGAGATAAATTTTCATATGAGGTTCTCTGATATATAGTTCAGTAAACTCTTGATTTAAATGACCTCAATTTAACAGGCTTCAAATATACTGGGCAGATTCTACTATGTCAGTTGACTCAGAAATATTAAAACCCATTGATTACAGAAGTATTCATTATCGTTACTATCACAGCAAGACAATCTCGTCTCTGTCACCATAATTGTCATTACCAGCCACTCACTTTCCCTACTAGTGTGCTAAATCCAGAGTTTACTGTACTTGTACCTTCTGAGAGGCAACTTTGCTTCATAATACCATTGGCACCAGAGCTATGCATTCAGTCTGGCTGAAAAATCAGTTACTTCTATTATAGCAAATTCCATCTGTATTTATTGGGTGAAATTAGTCATATTACTTCACTAACAGTATTGTCAATAGTGATTTTCTGTTTATCAATATTTGTGATCTAGGCATACAGTAATTTTTGTCATTTAAAATTAAATTTAAAAACAATAAAGTCCAAAAATCATTTTGAGTCTTACGAAGACCTGTTAACAAATATTACCATGCAAATAAGAAATACTGTATGCTTAAAACTATAAAACAAAATTACCTTCACTACCACTTGTCACTGGTGGTACCGGTGCGTACCTTTCGTCGTCTCTCACATAGATCTATGTTTTGGGGAATGGTGTCTCTCAAGTAGATATACATTTTAATCACAGTGCCTGAGAGAGAGGTAAATTTTGACCTAGACATTATTATTATCATGGGGGAGAACTAGACCCATCGGCATTATACAGGGCGTAGACATGAGAGAATGTGTCAGTGTGGTGGGTGTGCACAGTGTATAAAACAATCCTGCCCCATACAATGCATGATGGGAACAGCTAACCTCTGATCTTGTGTTTGGGTTAAATAGTAACTTTTGGGTATTATCCTGAGTGGTTTTCATGGTTTCATTAGCTGTTTCTTGATAACCCAGAAGACATACTAGTGAACTGGAGATGATCAGGTCTGAAGGTGGCGATAAATCCTCAAATTAGTGGAAACATTTGATTTTTGCCAATTTTCCTGTGAAAGGGTCTGTTTTATGGGTTTCTAATGGGTCTGCTTCAATTTGGAATGGCCTAGCCCATGACCAATCATTTATGGTTTTATTAGCCAAAACAGAGGGTTAAGCTTTTTTTTTTTTGGTGTTTTCAAAATGGAAGGCAGGTGACTGGGAAATACATTTTAACTGTTCATGACTAGGCCTTTTCATTTTTATTGTAGTTTTTGTAATTACAGTGTTGTCTGCAGGGATCTCAGGGAACTTTTTGACTGATGCAGGTTATTTTAATTTTTGAATAATAATGTTTATTTGTTTTTAACACATCAGCCATTTCCCACTGAGGCAGGGTGACCCAAAAAGAAAGAAAATCCCAAAACGAAAGGAAGAAAACTTTCATCATTCAACACTTTCACCATCACTCATACATAATCTCTTGTCTTTGCAGAGGCGCTCAGATACGACAGTTTACACAGTTTGTGTTGTGTGTTTAATTCATATTAGTACAGTAAAACCTCGATATATGGACTGGGATGTAAAAGACTTGTAAAATTATGGTTAAAATCCACTGTTCAAATTGTACTTTTAACTCCTTTATTTTCAATGTTAATTGCAGTATTTCTATAAATTGTGTATGTTACTGTGTTAGGTAAACAAAGGAGTACTTTATTGCATTTTTTGCTATTTTTTTTTTTTTTTAACATTGCAATGGTCCCTTGAGGTACAACATTAATGCGTTCCAGGTAAAATATTAGTGCATTCCAGAAGATGTATCATGCCTCCAAACTATTGTAATTCAAACCCCAAAATACATTGTTTTTATGTAATGCATTCCAAGACCCAGAAGTACAACTTTTACTGTATTTGCACGCTGCTAGATATAACTTGCAGGCACTATCTCCCTTCATCTGCTTCTCTTCTATTCAGTCTTTCCATCTCTATGATGATTTCGCTGCTCTTTTTCACTAGCTGAGAATTATCGGTGACTTTAATATTCTTTATTATTTCTATTTGCTTGATAATACCAGAGATTATTGCTTGTGAAAAGCCATACTCTCACACACCAATGCATTATTTTCTTGCTTCATTCTCAGAGGAATGGCTGGTTTACTGTGCATTTTAGGGGTCATGGTGACTTGTTAATGCAAAAGATGGTGTAATTATAACAAAAATGCATTTATGAAAGGTAAATAATCCAGAATTAGTTTGAAAACACCAGTAATACCTCCATACAGTAGTACAGTAGAAACTCTGCTATTGGCTAAGATGCTACCATACAGACATTCATTTCCTTTGCTGGTTGGCTGCTAAGCCAGCCTCACAATCCTATTGGCTTAGATGCTGTCAAAGAGTCAAGCTACCGGATCACTGGTTAGATAAGGCCCACCCGTGCCTGCTGACCATTAATAATGTAATAATAATAATGTGTATGTTAATGCTTTCAGTTTGAACCTACAAACATAAAACATTAACATGACAAATGAGATGAGAGTGTATGAACCTGGCTGTGTTGCCAAGCATAATAATTATAATAAGCTTTATTTCTACAAGTACATAATACAACTATTACAGACCTAGCTGACAACATTGACATTCTGGTATATATAGAAAGTCCCTGGTTATGCCGAGTGGGGCTTGAACCCATGGTCAGAGAGTCTAAAAACTCCAGACCAACGAGTTTTATGACTCTGACTGCAGGTTCAAGCCCCACCAGTCATATGGTTTGTTTGCAATTGTTTTTTTTTTTTTTTTTTTTTTTTTCAACAAGTCGGCCGTCTCCCACCGAGGCAGGGTGACCCAAAAAAAAGAAAGAAAATCCCCAAAAAGAAAATACAATTGTGTCACTACAATTTCATGAGCTATGCAGAGTATCACTTCAAACAACTTATTTTTGTTTCCCAGGATGTAACCCACAGCAGTTGTACCATCGTATCCATATTGTATATCCAGTTTTTTATTGCAACTCAAAACAAAATTCCTTTATTTGGGTAAATTGTAATTCCAAATTATCACAACTCCAGGGACCACTGTATTCTGATTTAACAGACTCTCGGACAATCCCCTCTTTTAGCTCTTTATTTCGAGGGTTAATTGTAGTTCTTGTTTAATTTTATTCAAGGGTTAATTGTGGTTCTTGTTTAATTTTACCTTTGTTTTCTTAAATATTTCATTTATCTTTTTTTGTTGTCAAGACTGCAGAATGATTATATGCTCAGATTCCTCTTCATATTTCAAAGCCTGGCCTAGAGCCAGGCTGCAGGAGTAAGTAAACTCTTTATATCAAAGGTACACTTATGGTTCCACTAATATTATTTCGCATCTTCATAGTAGACATAGACAGGAATGCTAACCACAGCTTTGTGTCATCTTTTGCAGAAGATACCAAAATAAATATGAAAGTCATCTCAGTAAAAGGTTAGAAGATTTACAAATAGGATATCACCACAGTTTTCCAATGGGAAACAGAAATTATGATGTTCACTGTTGACAGATTTCAACGAGTAGTTATGGGCTGAACAAAAATCTCAAAACAAGCACAATATTCAAAAAATAGACAGACCATGTCAGAGAACATAAGAAACAGGTAACAGGCAGGAATAATTAGGCTAGTTAGGTCATTTGGAAAGCACAGTAAGGCAAATGCACCAAAAGTCAGAAAAATAAAAGGGTAAGTTATGAGAACTTTCAAAAGAAGAGAAGCATAAGTGACTTTTCTAGTCACTTGTGCTCTCACAACTTGAGTATTGTTCTGTGCTCAGTGTGTCTTTCAGGGCAGGAAAGATAGCTCAGCTGTAAATTATGCAGGGGTTATATACTGCTCACAGCATCAGCAAAACATCAATTCTATTGAGAATGCCTCAGAACACTTGGATTTCTGTCTCTGGAGTGGGGAAGAAAGAGATGTGATAATACATGGAAGGTTCTACAGGGTGTAGTCCATAACTTGCATATTACTTTAACAACTTATTGGAGTGAAAGATATTGGAGAAAGTATGGAACAAACTCAGTGTAGCAAACCATAGGTACAATTCAACAACACTAGATTAACATCTGTAGTCCAAGATGCATTAGCACACTACCAGCTGATATCAGAATGCTACTAGAGGTTTTCAAGAAACTAGGCAGCTTCCTAATACAAATGCCAGATCATCTGGGTTGTGATGGCTGTGTGAGCCTGCAGGTCAGTAGCACTAACAACCTGGTTGACCAGCCAGTTAACTGGGAAGCCTGGCCTTGGTTTGGGCTGCAGGGGCAGAATAACCCTCAAAACTGGTTATAGTTAAATTCCTCATTTCAGGACCTTCGTCACCCCCAATGTTGGGTCACTTTATAATGGTGGCAGGGTCTGAGTGGTATGTGTATATGACAAGAACCCAACAATCCTTTTTTCTTCCATCTAAATAGATAAGAAGATCACTAGTAGCATCATTGTGTTTTTTTAGTCTAACTGCAATTGGGCTAAAAGCCATTCTTCCTTTATTTCTCTCAGTAACTCTTCAACTATGTATTGCTTATTCCAGACCCCTGTGAACTTTATTTAAAATCTCATGGTCACCTCACTGACATGCTTACTCTACCTGCCCTTGTCTCTAAAAGTCTACATTGTACCCTTTCAGTGGCTGTCACATAGATCTGTGTTTTGAGCACAGCTCCCTCAGATAAGAGAGAATGAGTCTGTGGCAAGTATGCAAAGTATAAAAAAAATCCTTCCCCCATGAAGTGCATATTAGGAAAAGCAAAACTGACCTTGTATTTGAGTTGTTGTCTAGGATGATTTTTATGGTTATTTCTTGTTATTATTTGATAGAATGGAAGATATACTATTGAAATAGACATGATTTTGTATTATTTCAGGACTGAAAGTGTATGTAATTGGGCTCAAATTAGCAGAAATATTAAGAAGTTGGTGTATATTCATGACCTCTTAACTGAAACTGAATAACTGCACTTACTGTGAATTCCTTCTTTTTTGAATTTGTTCACCCTTATCACTTCTGCCTCTTTTCATTTTAATGTCAGTTACCCATCTGTCATGCTGCACTAAATGATCCACAGATTGAATGTTGTCTTTATAACTGTATGATCTCCTAAATATTTGTTGCAAAAGAAAAGGGTTTTCCTGTTTAGGGATGTACAGTATTTCGGATTTGAAGTGGAGATTCTTGGCTTCATAATGAACAGTTGGCTGCTGTGAAGGCTAACTTATCCTTGGAGATACTCATCTTTCTTCTTTCTTTCAATGCAGCGGCCATATCCCACTGAGGCAGGGTGGCCCAAAAAGAAAAAGAAAAGTTTCTCTCAAATGTATACAGGTGAAGGGGTTGCTAGCTCCTTGCTCCCGACATTTTAGTCACCTCTTACGATATGCACGGGTTACAGAGGAAGAATTCTGTTCCATTTCCCCATGGAGAAGAGATTCTTTTTTTTTATTTTTTATTATCACACTGGCCGATTCCCACCAAGGCAGGGTGGTCCGAAAAAGAAAAACTTTCACCATCATTCACTCCATCACTGTCTTGCCAGAAGGGTGCTTTACACTACAGTTTTTAAACTGCAACATTAACACCCCTCCTTCAGAGTGCAGGCACTGTACTTCCCATCTCCAGGACTCGAGTCCAGCCTGCCGGTTTCCCTGAACCCCTCCATAAATGTTACTTTGCTCACACTCCAACAGCACGTCAAGTATTAAAAACCATTTGTCTCCATTCACTCCTATCAAACACGCTCACGCATGCCTGCTGGAAGTCCAAGCCCCTTGCACACAAAACCTCCTTTACCCCCTCCCTCCAACCTTTCCTAGGCCGACCCCTACCCCGCCTTCCTTCCACTACAGACTGATACACTCTTGAAGTCATCCTGTTTCGCTCCATTCTCTCTACATGTCCGAACCACCTCAACAACCCTTCCTCAGCCCTCTGGACAACAGTTTTGGTAATCCCGCACCTCCTCCTAACTTCCAAACTACGAATTCTCTGCATTATATTCACACCACACATTGCCCTCAGACATGACATCTCCACTGCCTCCAGCCTTCTCCTCGCTGCAACATTCATCACCCATGCTTCACACCCATATAAGAGTGTTGGTAAAACTATACTCTCATACATTCCCCTCTTTGCCTCCAAGGACAAAGTTCTTTGTCTCCACAGACTCCTAAGTGCACCACTCACCCTTTTCCCCTCATCAATTCTATGATTCACCTCATCTTTCATAGACCCATCCCTGACATGTCCACTCCCAAATATCTGAATATATTCACCTCCTCCATACTCTCTCCCTCCAATCTGATATCCAATCTTTCATCACCTAATCTTTTTGTTATCCTCATAACCTTACTCTTTCCTGTATTCACTTTTAATTTTCTTCTTTTGCATACCCTACCAAATTCATCCACCAGTCTCTGCAACTTCTCTTCAGAATCTCCCAAGAGCACAGTGTCATCAGCAAAGAGCAACTGTGACAACTCCCACTTTATGTGTGATTCTTTATCTTTTAACTCCACGCCTCTTGCCAAGACCCTCGCATTTACTTCTCTTACAACCCCATCTATAAATATATTAAACAACCACGGTGACATCACACATCCTTGTCTAAGGCCTACTTTTACTGGGAAATAGTTTCCCTCTTTCCTACATACTCTAACTTGAGCCTCACTATCCTCATAAAAACTCTTCACTGCTTTCAGTAACCTACCTCCTACACCATACACTTGCAACATCTGCCACATTGCCCCCCTATCCACCCTGTCATACGCCTTTTCCAAATCCATAAATGCCACAAAGACCTCTTTAGCCTTGTCTAAATACTGTTCACTTATATGTTTCACTGTAAACACTTGGTCCACACACCCCCTACCTTTCCTAAAGCCTCCTTGTTCATCTGCTATCCTATTCTCCGTCTTACTCTTAAAACTTTCAATAATAACTCTACCATACACTTTACCAGGTATACTCAACAGACTTATCCCCCTATAATTTTTGCACTCTCTTTTGTCCCCCTTGCCTTTATACAAAGGAACTATTCATGCTCTCTGCCAATCCCTAGGTATCTTACCCTCTTCCATACATTTATTAAATAATTGCACCAACCACTCCAAAACTATATCCCCACCTGCTTTTAACATTTCTATCTTTATCCCATCAATCCCGGCTGCCTTACCCCCTTTCATTTTACCTACTGCCTCACGAACTTCCCCCACACTCACAACTGGCTCTTCCTCACTCCTACAAGATGTTATTCCTCCTTGCCCTATACACGAAATCACAGCTTCCCTATCTTCATCAACATTTAACAATTCCTCAAAATATTCCCTCCATCTTCCCAATACCTCTAACTCTCCATTTAATAACTCTTCTCTCCTATTTTTAACTGACAAATCCATCTGTTCTCTAGGCTTCCTTAACTTGTTAATCTCACTCCAAAACTTTTTCTTATTTTCAATAAAATTTGTTGATAACATCTCACCCACTCTCTCATTTGCTCTCTTTTTACATTGCTTCACCACTCTCTTAACCTCTCTCTTTTTCTCCATATACTCTTCCCTCCTTGCATCACTTCTACTTTGTAAAAACTTCTCATATGCTAACTTTTTCTCCCTTACTACTCTCTTTACATCATCATTCCACCAATCGCTCCTCTTCCCTCCCGCACCCACTTTCCTGTAACCACAAACTTTTGCTGAACACTCTAACATTACATTTTTAAACCTACCCCTTCATACTATACACTCACAAAATCTACTGTGTGTGTAAAGGTGAGAATATTTTTGATGTTATTGTAGCAGAAATGTACAAATGAAAAATTCTTCTTTTTAACATTAATTTTATCAAATTAGTTAGCTTCTACAGTTTTAAATAAATCATTTGCTTCCCCAAGCTTTTAGACATGTGCTTGATTTTTTGAAGCGAGGTGTATTGTACAGTCCACATTGCAAAGTACTAGTTTTGAAGCCTGTTTATTAACACTTACAGCTTTTTAATTCATTGTTCTTACTCAGTAAAATAGCTTATTATTAAAAATCTACCAATAATTTGTATTTAAATATTTTCAAATGTTGGTGCAATAATAAGAGAAAATTTGTTTTGAAGTTGCTTTTCTTTGCTAGTCAGAGAAGACAACACTTAATACCGAAGAATCCTGGAATCATCACTTATCTGTATATCCAACAACAGCTTCTGTAACATAGCTGAACCATTTGCCAAGAGACTTCTTCAATGCTATCCCACATAAGAACGGAGGAACACCGCAGGTCTACTCGTATACTTGTCTAATCATTTTTTAAAGCTACCCAAGGTCCTAGACTCTATCACCCTACTTGGAAGATTGTCACATGCAGCATTCTCCACCTGACTCCATCCTATAAATACTCATGTACCTTCCACTCAGGTAGATCTGTTTGTGACTTATTAAAGCCCACTGTGTGGGTGAAACATTGTCAATAAAGGATCACATTATACTGCTTTTGTTTATACTATTTCCATTCAGTTAATCATACTCAGTTTATGCTATTAAATTATTTATAATTTAATATTAAATGTTATAGCTCTTTCAGTTTTGAAATAACTGTAGGTACTCTAATAGTAGCAGTCTAGTAGAGAATATTATGTTTTCATAACCTATCATGAATCCTCACACTGATTGTAACTGTAGGAATTATGTTCATTCAACATAGTTTTTCAGTCATTTGTAAGTTTATAGAGGGACTGATTTATCACTATATTTGGCTAAAATTTCTTCAGATTTAGTAAATGCATTGGAACTTCAGCTTGCGAATTTAATCTGTTCTGTGACCTTGTTTGTATCCCGAGTCAATTTTCCTCATTTAAATTATAATTGAAATGGCATTAATCCGTTCCAGTGGAATTCCTACTCTCAGGAGGCACAAGAAAATACTTCAATATGATGCTAATATCAACTGTACGGCTTATTTATCTATCACAATTCATTTAATTTCACCATCACTCAAGGAATGCACAACAGGTGCATCATCGTCAATGTTCAGCTCCTGTAACTCCATTAGCACACAGTCAAGATGAGTAAATAGAATTTGTCAACGCTTATTGCTTGGGTACGTTCATTCTGTTAGTGGGTTGGATTTGTGAAGAACCTGCCTAGTATGGACCAATAGACCTACTGCAGTGTTCCTCTTTTCTTATATTCTTAGTTTCATATTTGTGTTGGATACATACATGAGTGAGAGGGGTTGGATGTGAGTGGAACTTGCACATGAGTAAATAAGAATTATCAAAGCTTATTGCTTGGGTAGCATTGAAAATTGAGTTTAGCAGATTTTGTTAGTGGGGATTGGAATGTCTGAAAAGACCTGCTTCTAAAACAAAAGTACAGTGACCCTCAAAATTATTTAACAACTTTTCACGAGTAGTTTCAGAGCCAGAACTGACCGAATTTTTTCCCAAAGATATATTGTGAAGAGATTAATCCATTTTCAGACCCAAACATACACTTACAACCATTATGAATTGTCGCATTTGGAGTATCGTTTACACGGGGCCATGTATACGTGTATTTATGAAATTTTAAAATTATCCACTCAAAATTATTTCATAATACACAGGAGAGCTACAGAAGCACAAATACTTATTACTGAAAGTTATCACAGAATAGAGTAAAGTAAACATGATTAGTACTGAAGAATTGAGACACTAGTCAACATTGGAAATCTTCTTTGAATAAATTTATGCACACAGTGAGAGGGAGTGTTTGAGGTAATATCCCTTAGCTTGGACAATTTAAGCCATCCACTCTTTAAGAAGTAACAAGCATCGCCAGAAGGTGGCTTATTATCGATCAGGTGCTCATGTGATCAAACAGTTGATCCATCACAATGTTATGTGATCTTCGTCAAAGGTTGGACAAGTGTTTATGAATTCTTGTAACAATTGTTCCAATGTTTGGTCAAGACCTACTTATTACAATATTGAGTGGATCTTTACTCGCCTGACTGCAGTATATAACCTCTTCTGGGTCCTTCACAAAGATGATGGACTGAACATCGATTTAAGCTAAGGAATTACCTCAAACTCCTCCTCTCCCATTGTGTGGCAAAACATTTATTCAATAAAGATTCCCATGTGTCTCAATTCTTCAGGTACTAATCATGTTAAATTTACTCTATTCTGTGATAATATATTGTTTTGTGCTTCTGTAACTCTCTTGTGGTAGTTATGAAAATAATTTTGAGTGGATTAATTTTCATAAATACAATAGTACTTTGTTGTAGGAGGCAAAAAACTTCCTGCTTAATGATAATTTAATTTCTTGTGAGGAGTAGAATAATACAGATTTAGTTTTTTCTTCTTTATTTTGAGTGTAGGAAGGTCAGTGTGAAAAGCCAAGAGAGGGTCACCTCCTAGACTTAAAAAAAAGGATTATTCTAATTCTTTTACAAAATTTTTGAAGAACTGCACCAAAACCTCTACAGTGAAAAAATTTCAGGGCTTAAATTTATCCACCTTATATAACATGGATGTGAGTATAAATAAGAATAAAATAGTCTGGGATTAGTGCACTTCAGATATTAAGTAATGGAAATAATATCCATTAAATAATTCTTCTTAAATGAGAAGACTTAAGTCGAAGTGTGGTAAACCCTCAAGATCAATATGAGCTACACAGTTACCGCTCTGCAGCGGTCAAGCTACACTCACTGCATAACCTTCATCACCATAACCCAAATGGCAGGTTGAATAGAAGTCACACATAGCAACCCCATCATTACTGGCACACTCACACTATTGGAAGAATGAACACTGAGGAGCAATATGAATAGCCTCTGCTTCAACCTGGTGATGAATGGAAGCAGTAAATGTAGCAACACAATGGTTGGGTACACACCCAGTACAGCCCACAATACATAGTATTGTTATGTCACGCTTCACTCCAGCCATCTTTGAAAGTGTGATTCTGCTAGGTTTGTATACATACCAACCTCAATAAAGCTCACTGTTGAAAGTACTACTGCAGTATCTTCCAGGAAATTGTGAACCTGAGGTGATCAAACATCACAAAACCAAACCACACTCAGATGTCACACTTTCTGGTGGCTTTCTTACACACACACGTTGCATAAAAGAAGAGAAAGGGTAGTAAAATAAAAAAAAACTTCATGAATATTATGTAATAATAGAAACATTCTATCTTCATAACAAAAATAATCTGTTCCACCTGATAGGTTTGTGCCAACTCACTCATCCTATTACTCTCAATGACTAAGAGTCTTGCAGCTCACCATAACATTAACTGTCAACACTAATTACAAGTTTCTCCCTTTGTGGCTAAACTTTCAACAGTAGCAATATCATTCTTCTTCCATTTCAAGTGATTCCCTGACAATTCTTTAATTAAGAATACTATCAGTATCTAGATGCTGAGCAAATCGTTTCATGTAACTAGTGATACAAGCCTCACAAGCTGAGCCAGCATAGCACCAGGGAAAAAAAAAAATATAATGTGTATCCAACTCACTAACTGTGCTGGGTCGACTGGAAGCCATGGCAGCTTATGGCACATACTAACATGGGCTGTTGAGTCCTCCTGCTTACAAACTGGTTCTTGGTAACACAATAGTTGATACATACTGAAAGGGCGCCATTCCTATATATACTGTTGTGACTTTATGACATTGCAAGAGAGCTCCAGCCACGTTCTCCAGTCTGTCCATAAGACATGAGAGACACTCCAATTACACTTAGAAGAACAGAAGAACCATAACCGAAGCTTGTCATCCTGAACTAAAGTGTAGCAATCGCAGCAGTGCTAGTACCCAAGTAATATATATACTACTGTCAAATTGAACTAGCAGTAATTATCTGCAGGCATGGTAAAACATTTATGTACGTTTGTAAATGCATCCACAAAGGCAATGACTCTTGACCTGCCAATGTTGAAAACAGTCATCCTAATTGTATTTCTATCCAAATAATATGTACAATCATTCACTTACAGACCACTCTGATTCTAATTATTTTTAAACATTATACTTTTAACCTTTACATACATTAATGTGAATATTTACATTAATACTATCAGCCTCACTCAATGTTAAAATTTCTAAGTACATTTAACTATCACACTTCTCTGAACTACAATAAATATTACCAATATCTTGGAATGAATTTTAAGAAGATTTTAATGTTTCTAACTGAAGTTAAATATTTTCTTTTGCCTTTCAGAAGAGCAATGTGAACATGAAACATTGCATAATTGGGATCACCAGTATCTTGTTATAAAACATAAGAAATGCTGCAGTTGTTCAGTTGTTGACCTGACGATATGCACCAGTAGTTCATTTGCATTGTGCTAACTTCAGGACTGATTGCCACTTAGATGACTTAGAAGAGTGGCACATAACTGCTTTGCATCCGTTTCCTCGGGATACCTAGCTAAAACAGCACGCACTTGAGCTACAGGAAACAATTGCGATAAATGATAAAATATACGTAAACGTGCATCCTCATGACTGGATGCAGCAGTTGGAAGGGAACTTGAGAAACCAGCTGAGAGGGGAGAGGATCCACGAACTGGGACACCCTGAGACTGGTGACCTACTCCTGACTGTGGCAGCTGTTGGGGAGACATTGGGCGCGACCCAACAGGCCCAGGGTTGCGAGCTAATATATAATTACATATTTTCTGGGGGTCCGTCTCTTCTGGATACACTGCCAGTACAGCTCTAACTTGAGCTTCTGGAAATAGGTTAGACAAGTGATAAAAAACGTGTAAGCGAGCATCCTCATGGCTTGTAGTACCAGGAATAGGGCTAGGAAAATTTGAAGTGTGTCCCATTGATTGCTGTTGCTGTTGTGGAGGTGTATGTTGCCTAGGAGACACACTTGGAGAGTGATGAAGAACAGGACCTTGTTGGGAGACATTGGCCTAGAACAAATTGGCCCTGGTGAAGGAGCACCTGGGCCAGGACTTGCACTATGCTGAGGGCCCACAGAATGGAACTGTGGTAAACGTGCCAACTGCTCATCAAAAACATCAGAGAAGAAATGTGAATCACTACTACTATACACATTTAATCTTGTGTCAGATGTTGAATTTAAGCGTGTGATTTGTGGTGGCCCAGGAGCTGCCTGTTGATGTCCTCCCCAGATTGAGTCTGGAGCAGAGGCAAAGCGTGTAACATTAGGATGGGAATAAGTGGGGTACAAATGAGGAGGTAAAGAAGGCATATGCTTGGCACATTCTTGTGATGAGTGCCGGGCAAGAGGTGGATGCATCCCTGCTGGTAGCTGCTCTCGGCTCCCATATGGTGAGGAATATCCTGGAGACAGACGTTCTGTCATGCCACTTTGCACTTGAGAGAAAGCCAACGCTTCATTGTCACGGTTCATTGTCCTACTTGGAGAACCTTGTCCTGCTGTCTGCTGCTGACCAGAACTAGCAAGAGGAAAGTGCTCTGGAGCAGGTTCTCTGAAACCAACTATTTTGTAAAGGCGAGAATCATATGCTGGATTCAGTGTAAGCTGTCGTTGTAACTTCCGATGAGGATTATCAGATGCAGCTGGATCTGGATCAGACATTTGTTTTGTAACTGAAAGATGAGGGCCATACATCTGGGACTGACTCTGAGGTGGGGCTCCTTGTGAACTGGTCATTGACCTCATTGTTAATTCATTTCCTTGACCCTTCCACCATGTAGATGATCCATAGTTAGTCTGAGAACTCTGGGAAGGATAAATATGATAGAGAGATGAATCACTATTATACATAGTTGAAGAACGTAGTGGATCAAGTGGGCGTGTGTCCAGATGTGGGGGCATGAGGTGATGGTGAGAGTGTGATGAAGCAGATGTGGTGTTGGGTCCTAGATCATGAGTTGGAGTCTCTTGAGTAAGTGCTGATGGCAAAGTAAGAGACACTGATGGCACTATTGACTGTGTGCGTGCTAAAGGCTTTTTAGTTACATCAGTCTCTGCAATACCTACTGGTAGTGATAAACTCTTGCCTCGGAGACCTTCGCCTGAAAGTAGAAAAAAAAAAATTAGTGCAAAATGTTCTACTCCTTTTACTAAATTTTATTGACAATCAATAAGTAAAATACCCATTTTCAAGTGTGCCCCCATTAATTTGTGTAATAATGAACTGCTAAAAACAATAAGTGCTGTACTATTAATATACTGTGAGATTACATATTGGTAATTAAAGGACCATTTATGCTGGTGCTCCCTCTATAAAGCCTAAACTGTCATATGATTTTGTATTAACAATTGTCAACCTCAACTTCTCTTGGATAGCATACCTTTGATATACTTTCCAATGCTCTACCACTATTTGTGAAGAAAGGCACTTTATTTGTTTTCTTAGTTTGTTTCCTCAAGAAATTTAATTTTATATATTTTTTCTTCACCCTTTATACTATTTGTAGTTATTATGGCTTTTTTTTTTCATTTGGGTCAGCAAGGACTCACTCACTCTCTCTGTTTATGGTCTTCCTCTGTAGCCCATGTTATATTTTGGATTTTTTCCATCTTATCTGCATGTTGATAGGTGTGAAGATCACACTGCCATGCATATTCCAGTTTTGGCCTAATGTATATTGTGTAGCAGATTTTTTTAAGGGTAAGACAAGAAGGAGAATTTAGTTGTGGATTTTAAAAAGGCATATGATATGGAAGAAATGTATTAGTTTACTAAAAGTAGTCAAGAGTTTTGATACGGATCAGGGTATGTAGGAAATAGGGGGATTATTTTCCAGTAAAAGTAGGCCTTAGACAGGGATGTGTGATGTCACCATAGTGGTTTAACATATTTAGAGATAGAGTTGTAAAGGGAGCAAGTGCTGGGGAGGTGTGGAATTAAAAGATAATTAATCTAATGATCCTTGTGGGTTTAGAACTTAGTTTTGACTGTATTAGAGTGAGATGCTGAAGAAAAGTTGCAAAGGTTGATGGAAGAATTTGGGATGGTATGTAAAAGATAATTAAAGAATAAGGTGAGATGTAAAAAAAAATATCTAGGAATTGAAAAAGGATATCAAGCTAGAGGGAGGGGAAATATGGAGAAAATTAATGTATTTAAATACAGCCTCTCACTTAACGATGGACTTCCGCTCCTGAGACCACGTCGTTAAATGAATTCGTCACTGAGGAGCATACTATAATGGTAGTGGGTTTGTGTCAACTATCATTGATACTGGTTTAATGTCGCCGTTGCACCATTTATAACATTTCTGGTATTTTTTAAAAGTTTATACAATAGTGTACTGTATATTGAAATACAGTAAACAGAATAAAGGAAATCAGCTATAATATACATTATTTAGGTATAAATACTGGTCAGAGAGCCCATTGTAAGTCCGAGGCATCGGTAAACAAGTACATCACTAAGTGAGGAGAGGCTGTATTTGAGAGGGGACATGTCGGCAGATAGGTTTGTAAAAGACATGGTGAACCATGGAATAAATGCTGGTGGGGAAAGGGATGACAATAGTATTGGCATATCTGTGGAAGGAAAGAAATTAATGGAGGCAAAAAGGGAATGTACCATGAGTATAATGGTATCATCACTTTTATATGGGCATTTTGCATGGGCTTTGAACATTGGAGCCAGGAAGCAGTCTTGTTTCAGAGCAGTGCATAGGGTAAACATTATGCATGCAGAGAATTCGGAGCTTAGAGATTATGTGGTTATCAAAAGTATATATTCATCGATACCATGCCTAACCCTTCTAGGGTAGGGTAGGTGCCTGAGCCCGAGCCTTTAGCTCATAAGACTGTCATTCCCATTTGTCCCCTTGGGGCGGGGATGGCAGACCAGAGAGGCCTAGCTTGTGCTAGGCCTGGGGACAGTTGGTCCCAAAGATGAGGAGGTACTTGTGCCTCCTCCCATGGGAGACTTAGGTCTCAGACACTCCCTAAAGAGGGAGCCAAGGCCGGGCCACCACTTGGAAAAGGCCCGGGCCGGGAGAATACCGGCTAATCTTTAATAATAATAAATAATCAAAAGTATAATTCAGAGAGCTAAGGCTGGGGTGTTTTGAGTATTTAGAGAAGTTGGAGAATAGGATGACAATGAGAGTGTATAAATCTGGGATAATGGTTGTGCCATTAAGAGTTGAGGAAGGGTAATTCTGAGTGCTTAGGAGTTTCAATATCCATCAAGTTTGTGGAGAATGTTATATGGCTTGATGTACTGTTGGAGTGTGAGCAAAGTAGCAATCACGTATAGATTCTAGGAAACCAGTTAGGTGGACTTGAATGCTCGAGAGGAAAAATAGTGCCTGCACTCTGAAGGGTCTGGGGATCTTACAGTTCAGATAATTTGAATTACATTCTCATACTTCTGACAAGACAGCTACTAAATGAGTGATAGGGAATAAGTTTCTTTTTCTGGTTTACCCTACCTCAGTGAGATGATGTATTAAAAAAGTTCCCCCCTTTTCAGGACAGCTTAGGTCATATTGGTAATTCCCCTTACACTTGACAAATGGGTGTAAAAAATTGTGTTGAATGCTTTACAATTACAAGGTTACCTCTTGTGTACTTTATGCACCATAGTCTAATAATTCTGAGGTTTATGCTTAGGAGTATACTGTGTTCCAAGCATTATTCTATGGATTAAGATCCCGGAATTTTTCTTTAAATGGCAAGAATATTTCCCAACGTGTCAAAATTTCAATGTTGTATGACTGAACCCTCCAAGACTGGGTGTGCCTTGAAACAGGTGAAGGGCTCTCAATTTAAGGAATTTAGGCTACCTTCCCATTTCCTGAATCAAATCTGGCTACCTTCCATTCCCCAGACCACCTACAGGTTTGGTGGTTTCCCTTTAATATATGACGAAATGATTTGGTGCTTTTCATAAATATAATACCTGTAATATAGTGGGTTAACACTTCTTTCTCACTGACTGTCTCCCAGTGAGGTGGGTGACCCCAAAATAAGATGAAACACATTCATTAATTCGTTCAGTCATTGTCTTACCAGAAGTGTGCTGATATCACAGTTCAGATGACCCTCCAAACGGAAATACTGTATCCTCACCCCCTTGTTTAGAGTGCAGGCACTGTACTTCCCAACTCCGGGACTTAAGTCCAGCTAACCAGTTTCCCTGAATCCCATCATGAAAGTTACCTTGTTCACGCTTTACAGCAAGTCAACCCGTAAAAACCACTTGTCTTCACTTGTTCCAGTCTCATACAAGACTGTTGGATGTTCAAGCCCCTAGCACTCAAAACCACCTTTACTCCCCCTCCCCTTGAACCATTCTGGGGATGACCCCTACCCATCCCTTCCAAATTTCCTAGACATCATGTTTTGCTCCAGCCTCTCGAAATGTCCAAATAATCCCACCTCGGCCTCCTGAATTAAACCTTTTTTGTATCCCCATACTTAATCTCCAAATTCTCTGCATAATATTTACACCACACATTGCCCTCACTGCCTCCAGCTTCCACCACCACATCTAAAACTTGACACCATGCCATAGCAGGGTCATTCAATTTAAAACTCCTATCAGATATGTTAGAAGATTGAGCCTCCTTGCTTGTTATACTCGTATAACAGTCATAATCTGGTACATTTCCCTTTTGCTACCCATAGATAAGTTCTTTGTCTTTACAGTTGCCATGACATACACCCACCTTTTCCTCCCCTCATGAATTCTATGGTTCTCCATCTTTTGTAGACCCATCTGCCGACAAGTCCACTCCCAAATACCTAACACTTTTTTCAGATATTTGGGAGTGGACTTATTGGCAGATGAGTCTGTAAAAGATGTGGTGAACTATAGAGCTGTTTGGGGGGGGGGAGGTGAATGATTACATCTCTGGACACAAATGCATTATAGCTTAAAAACTGAAAAAGATGCAGAAATATACATTTTTTTTTTCTCAACAAGTCGGCCGTCTCCCACCGAGGCAGGGTGACCCAAAAAAGAAAGAAAATCCCCAAAAAGAAAATACATTCATCATCATTCAACACTTTCACCACACTCACACATTATCACTGCTTTTGCAGAGGTGCTCAGAATACAACAGTTTAGAAGCATATACATATAAAGATACACAACATATCCCTCCAAACTGCCAAACCCCTCCTTTAAAGTGCAGGCATTGTACTTCCCATTTCCAGAAATATACATATTAGAACTTAATCCTGTATTATTTAACACATCTCCCACCACAGTAGATAGATCCCAAAAAAGAAATACTTTCGCCATTATTCATTCTATCACTGTCTTGCCAGAGGCATGCAGAAATTACTGGTCAGATGACCCTCTAAATTGCAACATCCTCATGTTTCCTTTCTTCAGAGTGAAGGCACTATACTTCCCATCTCCAGGACTCGCATCCAGCTAACTGGTTTACCTTGCTCACACTCCAGCAAGTCAAATCATAAAAACCACTTGCCTCCAAGCCCTTCACACACACAACCTCCTTTATCCCCCTCCCTCTAATCTTTCCATTATAGTGTGTTTTTTTTCACTAATAACTGCTGAAATGAGATCCAAAGGTGGTGGTATTGTGCAACAGCCAATGTTAACTTAAATACATGTACTAAATATGATAACTAGCGCATTAAACTGATTATATTATTGTATACGATAATTAGCTAAATGATTGAGGACACCCCCACGGGTTTAGCGCTCTCCCATGATTATAATAATTATGAGGACACCACGAGCATAATTCTACTCCTGAAATTACAAATAAGTCATCACAGTCCAGAAATTTAACAGGAAAACTCAAACACGGTCAAAAACAAACAAACCATTGTGTAATACCTGGTGATGAGTCTCTGCTACTGGCTTTACTTTGGTAGTGCCTCTGTGCCTGTTCTTGCAGTCGTTCTGTCACAGACTTCAGTGGGGCTGTACCTCGCTCTGGATGCATATACTTGCATTTGTTACCGTAAGTACATTTCCGTCCATAAGGGCAAGGCGCCTGCTTGTCTCTGGTACTTCGCCGTAGAAACACATCAAGAGTTGGTCCGCTTCTTCCCATAGGATCATCAGGAGGTACAAAGCGACCATTAACCCAAGAGTACATAAGTAAACTTTCTTCTATGACCCGTCGGAAGGATGTGGATTCTGCAGCCAAATCACGATAGTTATCATTACTGACAACAACGCCGCCAGAAGTCATTGCCTCTTTGAGTATGTAGCGGTCATCATAGGATACGATACGTTTGCCGCCACATACTCTGGAAGGTGTAAATACCAAGACACGTTCTCGCTCCAATTCCAAAAGTACATCTTGGTCAGCGATGGGCGTGTCCCAGCGGGGCGCCTCCTTCCTCCAGGCTGGCACGAAGACGGTAATCTCAGTGTGGCCGCGGGCACGGAACCAGTCCACACACACACGCAGCCCACTACATGAGAAAGTTGTCTTGTTGCCGTGACTGAAAGAAAAACACACTTATTAGCTACCATTATTAAATTTCTCTTCCATATAATATTAAACATGCAGCACCTGGGAAAGGGAGGTACTTACGCTCCAGCCAAGGAAGGGGAGCACAGGTCCAATTCCTTAGCTCCAGAACTCCTGACCGGCATCAAGGAACCTCTCGTGAGGTTTTAAAATATAGAATTGTAGAGCAGGAAACCATTATTTGTGGCTTTTTGAGATTTTTTCACCCTCCCCCAACATATGGGAAGAGATTATCACCCATCAAGTTATTGGTCAGACCCAACGTTGTTTAACCCAACTGATCGAATGACAACCGTCATCCATAGCAACATTAGGCTATCAGTTTATTAAGTCATCGGCATCAATGGATCTATCTCCCTAGAAAGTATATTAGGCTCAAAACCTATCGACATAAGGGCCATTAAGGCTACACATCACCTGTGCACCACCAATCAAGGATACTCCTAATCCCTAATATGGGGATTCAATTAAACAAGTTGTACGTATAAATGTGATATGCTCTCAGTGCATACAAATGAAGATTATGACCCTTTTGGGATTGTGTTTAATCTGATACAATTATTGTACTAATATATACCAGCGATGTATGACCCTGGTGGGTTTAGCACTTAGTTTTATTATACAAACTGAGAAACATTTACGTCTATATTCTAGAAGCAAAGTGATAGCAATAAGGAGAAAGGGTGGAGTGGCGCGAGGCAGCAGCTGCCAGACCCAGAGCAAACCTGTGAATCAGGAGAGCGGACACCACGAACATAACCCCAGCCATCCGCGCCAGGTAAACTAGCCCCTGGTGTAGACGTCGCTAAGTATATAATTGCAGTAAGACTATACAGAAAGCGGATGTAAACTTTCCCTGGCCAGCGGTGGTGTGTTCAAGGGACCTCTATCTTGTGTTACTACACGGTCACACATCTACACCTCCACCTATGAACGATTTCCAGAGTTTTCCTACTCTTGCAGATTGGCTCTAAGACAGCCAGGCTTTCCTGGTCAACTAGGCTCTTACTATTAGTAGCCCCCTACCCCCACATATCCACCACGACCTGGTTGATTTGGCACTTATATATTTGCAAAACAACAAGGGAAGTTGAATGACAGCTCTAGGTTTTTCGTGTTGCAATCAACATATGAGCTTGCAATGTTGCAAAAAAATCAGGAGGAAGTCCAACCAAATTCGTTCAGGGGAACGTTTTTTTTTTGCCCGAATGAGGTAGCGAGGCAGGAGACACTAAGTGCCCCAGGCATGCCAGTGCCAGAAAGATTGAATATCAAAGCCCACAAGCACTGACATTGTAGTGATGATCTAACGAACGTAACATAAGTGTCATAACAATTATCAAAATTCGGCCAGACTTCGATATGATATAAGACTTTACATTCTGAATATAAATATATCTGGGAATTTTCCGTACATTTAGGAAACGGGTTCACGGATGACTCGCTTAAAACTAAAGAGAGACAGCTGTTTATCTGGAGAGAGTTCCGGGGGTCAACGCCCCCGCGGCCCGGTCTGTGACCAAGCCTCCTTAGGTCAGTGTCCCAGGATGCGACCCACACCAGTCGACTAACACCCAGGTACCCATTTTACTGATGGGGAACATAGACAACAGGTGGAAAGAAACACGTCCAATGTTTCTACTCTGGCTGGGAATCGAACCCAGGCCCTCACCGTGTGAAGCGAGAGCGTTAACCACCAGGCCACCAGAGCCGTAGTTTATCCACAGAACCCATTTCTAAATGCACGAAAAAATCCTAAATGTATTGTGTAGGTCCAAAAATGTTAACAGGAGTACATCTGGAGTTATACACAAATCACCCGCACATAGAAGAGAGGAGCTTACGACGACGTTTCGGTCCGACTTAGACCATTTACAAAGTCACACTAACGAAAAGGAGAGGGAGTATATATAGGCAGGTGGTGGTAATGGTAGTAGTAGGGGAAGGTAGTATGGATTTATATCTACAGTTTACTTATCTGTTACAAGTAAATTTGCTTAATATATTAGGTATCTTATTTTCATTAATATCTTGGTACGTCACATGGGTTATTATACTGCCTATCTCTATATTCTTCAATAAGTGGACAATTAAGCACTTAGTATTCAAGATGGTGATTATAGGGCTGTGAGACTGGTGTAGCTACCACAATCAGAAGTTCCTGGCGTGTGTGCGCGTGCAGCCAGCGTGGGGACCCCCACGCAGCCAATTTATCATGCACTTATCTCAGTAATAACCACTCACCAGGATCATCCAAGTCTACACCCTCCAGGATGTCAGCTTTCACCACACCTCCAATCATCCACAAGCGCATCGCTTTCACCAGGATTCCCAAAACACTGCTTGCACAAACAAAGCAGTTCATCGCTACTGAAGCATAGCATACTATGTGAAGCACAAGCCATTAAACCACTACGAAAACCTTCAAAACAACACACGCATTGCCAATGATGATACTTTTTAAATCAACTGTGATCTCTTGCCTCCCCCCCATCCTCAGGGGTCTTGATGCAAACTGGATCTGTCCTCTTTTTTCCTTGGATCGTACCTGATGAGGCTGAATGACCATAATATTCTCTTCAACCAAGAAATTAGATCTATGCTGTCCTTCCTGGAATCAAACCTGAATATCTTTTATTTCCGAGGTGTTTACCTGGAGGACATTCCGGGGATCAGCGCCCCCCCCCGGCCCGGTCCATGACCAGGCCTCTCGGTGGATCAGGGCCTGATCGACGAGGTTGTTACTGCTGGCCGCACGTAGTCCAACGGACGAACCACAGCCCGGCTGATCTGGCACTTGACTTTAGGTATCTGTCTAGCTCCCTCCTGAAGACAACCAGGGGTCTATTGGTAATTCCCCTTATGGCTGGTTGGAGGCTGTTGAACAGTCTTGGGCCCCGGACACTTATTGTGTTTTCTCTTAGTGTTCCAGTGGCGCCCCTAGTTTTCCTATGAATCTAATAATACTGTAATATGTTCACAACGTCTTTCATTGTAGGAGAGGCAGCAGCGCTGGGAAATATAGAGGTCTTTAACTATCCATATAATATCTATTAGGAATGCCTCAAAGTACCTGGAGTGTTTTCTCTGGGACGATTAAGAGGTATTTTATAACAGAGATAGCTTAGAACCTGGTCCCTAACCTGCACACTACCATACCAACTTACAGTAGTGAGAGATATGGGAGGAAAATACTAAATAGACTCCAATAAAAAGCAGGGACGCCACGGGCACAATTAGAGAACAGTGTGTCAACATCCATGGCCCAAAATTCAACCTGCTACCAGAAGATATATGAAATATTACGGGAACAAGTACAGTAGTTTTCAAGAGACTGAATCAACCAGTTTGGTAGCTGTGGGTCGATGGTCCAGACTGCGAGGCTAGAACCCTAGAACCGGTCACGGATATTTCGTAGGTATGTCACCATTAGCAACTAACCCAGACAATGAAAATTTCTGGGTCATTATATTTCACAGTGACTATAATGGTTTAAATCGCAACGTGAAGTGTTGATTTCCGCCTGTGTGCTGCGAAAATAATCCTTCTGGTTACCAGTGATAACAACGATAGTGATGGATATAAGAACTGAAAAACAAAATCTAAGAAAATCCTCTGGTTCATGTTCAAGAGGTAACCCAGACTTTTCTAAGACCGTCTTTCTCTCTTTTATTTAATCAAGTGGTAAAAATGTGTAACAGATCGAGTGAAAATAAAGTGCAATACTTTATATATGTTAAAAAATAGACGGATGCATTCTTATTACAAATACAAAGCTTATTTTAACTACATTAATTTGCTAGAGGTTTCTCAACGTCATTTTTTACGTTTCCTCTAAATTTACAAAGGTTACTTTGGTTAGGTTAGGATTAGCTACACAAATTTATAAAAATTCGTACGTTTAACATAAGTAAGCAAATTAAAACGGCCGCAATAAGTATATAATGAGAACCGAAAAAATGGTAAACGTTCATTCCTTAATGTTTATGACTCATGGTTCAAATTGGAATATAGTCTGTTTCCCCATGCTTTTTCATTTTCCTTCTCACCAAAACTATGGGCAAAGAAGTTGTAGAGAAGCCACGAGGTCAACAAACGATGCTCATGACACACCAACGGTGACGCTAGGCTCTACAGGGAGACAAATTTCTTGTGAGGTGGGTGTGGTGGGTGAGGGAAGCTGGGACCTTGGCCAACATGCCTCCACTTGATGACCAAAACACCCACATTAAGGGGAGGGGGGGGGGAACCTAACATAGGAACACACCACACTAGCAGCGTGGAATTTATCGTATGAATTCGCCACACTAGGAAGGGTAAATTATCGTAGGAACCTACCACACGTACATGATGTACCTTTGATATTTACGCAGTTGTTCATTACGACTTTTCCGAGTACATTACAACGTAAAGACAAGACTTCTACAGAACTCTAAGCCAACAATTGGATATAATAACGCAATACGCAGCTGGACATTATTGTGGAATAAAGAACTTTTAATGAATAGGCTTCGGTCCTGGGAATTTGCCCTTCCTAAATGGAGTGACCTTTGATGAGTTTCGAGAGTTTTTCTACTCCCAGAGTCTGGCCATGGACCAGGCTTGTCAGGTCAATCAGGCTGTTGCTGTCAGCGGCCCGCTGGCCCACATATCCATTACAGCCTAGTTAATCTGGCACTTAGTGGAGGTACTTGTCAGGTTTTCTCTTGAAGACCTCAACAATGATTCTGATATCTTCAGGTAACGTGTTGAACAGTCTGGGACCACGGATACGTTCTCTTATTGTGCCCATGCGGCCCTTCTTTTCACTGGGTTTATAATACACTTCCTCCCATATCTCTCACTCCAGTATGTTGTTATGGCGGTGTGCAGATTGGAACCAGACTCACAAGTATTTTACAGGTATATATTATCATGTATCTCTCTTCCTCCTCTCTAAAGAATACAAATTTAGGAGTTTAAGATGTTCCCAGTAATTTCAATGCTTTATTGGCTCTAAGGGGGCTGTAAATGATCTCTATTTCTTCCAATTCTGATATTTCTCCTGCCCTAAACGAGGCCGTCAACAATAAGCAATATTCCGAATGAGAGAATACAAGCGAGTTGGAAAGTGTCATCACTGGCACTATTTCCCTTGTTTTGAAAGTTCTCAGTATCCACCCCGTCATTTTCCTGGTTGTCGTATATATCATAATGTATCTCTTTCTCTCTCCTCCGCTCCAGCGAGTACATATTTAGAACTTAGATGTTTCATTGGCTCTATGCTCTCCGTAAATCTTTGCACGTTTAAGTCAACACTGAACAATACTCTAAACGAAAGAGCACAAGCGATTTGCAGTGTCACCACTGGCGCTACTTCCCTTGTTCCGAAAGATCACATTATCCACCCAGTTCATTTTCCTGGCTGTCGTGACATTTGCCTTGTGTTCTCTGAAAGCAAGGTCAGCCGGCATAATTACTGCCAGATCTTTCACATGTTTCTTTAGTGCTATTTGACAATCCTGGTGGGTTTTGTATACAGTGTCTCTTGAGATCATTCTTTCCAGGTGGACCTTATCGCCAGTGTACATCCTGTCCTCCAATGTCCACTGGAAAACCCTGCTTATATCCGACTTTTTTTGTTTGTTCGACCAAGATGATTTTCATGCTTACTCTGGTGTCATCCGCAAATGATGATACAAAACTGTCGAGTGTTTTTCTCTGCTATAATGATAAATAGTAGAGGCGCCAGGACCTTGCCTTGGAGCAGAACTCTACTTCAGGCTGGGGGGACTGACTACCTCAAAGACTGTTACATCGTCTTTACATCTCTACGGCTTCTGCTGCCTCTTCTGTGTTCGACTGAAGAAGCCTACTGTATAGGCGAAACGTTTCGGAATAAAGATACCTAACTGTTGCACGTGTCTTACTTATCATCTTACCTCACTAATGATGGATTTTGCTGTTTACTATTACTCTTTGTGTTGTCAGAAAGTTGAGAATCTATTTGCCTATCTTCCCCGCTGTGCCTATGGCCGTCATTTTGTGTGCATTCACCCTATGATTGTGTCACCACCTTTGCAAAATCCGTGTATACCACATCTGCGTTTTGGTTTTCTTCAATTAAAACATGTTCTGAAACGTATGCGCCTTTGTGCTTTAATCTATACTGTAGATACCATTATAACTTCTACCATCATTAAGTCTATTTTACACACCTATCGCTCAAAACTAAATGAAACGTCGTCTAAAATAAAGCCTTATATTTTGTGTCTTTCTACAACCAATTCTCGTAACGTAAATTGTTTGACGTTTTACTGAACGTGTCCCGTGGCCTGGTAGGCAACGCTCTCGCCCCACACTGAATGTCCGTGGTTCAATCCCCGGCCGGGTAGAAACATTGGGCGTATTTCCTTACACCTGTCCCTGTTCACCTAGCAAGTAGGTCCCTCGCTATTATTCGATTGGTGTGGGTGGCATCCTGGTGGACAAGACTGAAGGACCACAATGGAAATAAGACAGTCTCTTGATGACGCACTGACTTTCTTGGGTTATCCTGGGTGGCTAACCCTTCAGGGTTAAAAATCCGAACAAAATCTTATCTTACAACATTTCTAAGATTCGACCCCTGCAAAAGACAGCAAGATGGGCTCACGTTATTTATCGACTGAATAAAGGTTAAAGTCGTAAACCTATACATTAACAACAAGCAGATTTTGAATATATTCAGATATACACGTGTAAATACAGATATATACCTGTGTATATACACTAGAGAGGTTCAACAGCGTATACACACAGCTATATATACACCTGTGTACACACATTAGTGAGTAAATTAAACATTACATATACACTTGCATGTAACTGAGTATACACCACTAAGTAACCAGTCTATAAAGATATACACTCCCGTGTATATTCCAGTAATGAGAAGAGAGTCCAGTATCATTAAGTGCTAGAGAGGACCCTCCCCCCTCAATCCAATTAACAAGAGTGACTCGTTACTATGAGAAACTCGTACACCAGCCTATCCCAGCCTACGGTGTACTTGATTCACAGAACATGACTGTCAACAGCAAGTCAGGGTACAAGCTAATATAAACAACAAACATCCGTGTAATCTACGATAAATTAATAATAATGTCTCCTTGCCTAAGTCATTATAAATTAACCATTCAAGAAGTAGCTGTTCTCTTGTTACACGAGTGTGAGATATAGCTAGTAGGTTGGTAGAGAGCAATCAGCCAGGGAGATGTTATCCTTCACTCACACGAGTGTGAAACCGGAAGCCTTGTTGAATGTTCTGTACTGGTAGGTTGCTAATCTTTTCCTTCAGTCTCACGAACTTGTAAGATGACAGGCAAACGGCTTGCCTACCATGAGCCAACAGGCCTGCTACAGTATTCCTTCATTCTTACGTTCTCAAATCTTACAAACTCTTAATTACAATCAGTATACACTTAAATTTACGTTCCTATGCAAAAATCTCCTCACATCACATCGGCGGGTGATGTGATAGGGAAGACTAATAGGGAAGGAAAGGAGAGTGGAGGGAAGGTAGGAAGGGACAGTTAAGGTAGGTAGGGCAGAACGCCAGGTTCTACAAGATCCGGGAAGCTGTGACGAGGCAATTTATAACGCAAACACTGCCTTGCCGAGGCCGACTCCAGCACGCTGCTGCTGCTGTTGCCGCAACTCTGCTGTTTTACACCTGTCATAACCTCTCACACATTGGTGCAGCCAGGTTGTTACTGGCAGCACCCCGCACTAATACGCACACCGGTAAGGCAAGGTTGTTATTGCCAGCACTAACACACATACAGAAAGTATTTTGTTCAGCCTTAAGAATGGTCAGGAAGTGGAATAACTTGGATTGAGTGGTAGAGGTCGGATCGATACTTAGCTTTAAGAACAGGTACGTTAAGACTCGAAGCCAGGAAACAGTAAACCCAGTAGCAGCGGCCAGCGAAGAGGCTGGGCCAGGTGCTAAGACTCGCCCCCTGCAACCACATATACATGAATATATGTTATCAGTTCCTTCCCAAGTAATTATGACAAGAATACAGAAACACTGCGGCAGGTCTACTGGCAGAACCAACTCCCACTCATGTACCGGTCCATCTACATTTTAACTACCCAAAGTTCTGCCTCAATAACCCTACCTGCGACTCGACAACTCTGGCCAACCAGTACACTTCCCTATATCCGGTCATATCAGGGATGCTGACAGTGTTCTTAGCGCTAAAGTCATAGGGAGTCATACAACACCTGGGGGAAATGAAGACAGATTTCATCCAAGAGGAGTCTAGGCCCAATTTCTTGAATCAAAAGCCATTCACCAGTATCAAGGTTACTCAGACGTAAATTCCACACTGTTGTTCTTCAAGGAGGATGAATGATGCCAGTGAAGACTCTCGAGCCAAGAAATTAAAGTTAGTCTCCCTCCTTCAGATCAAACCTAGTTGCCGCCTGTTCCCCAAGCATTACATAACCCCTAAGGATTTAGTGCTTCCCTATAAATTAACAATCTAATATAAACTCGTTTATTCATTATATATGTAGACAATTCTGGGGGTCAGCGCCCCCAGCGGCCCGACCCCAGACTATGCCATTCATTTAACAGTTTGATTAACCAGGCTGTTGGTGCTAGCACTGCGCAGTCCCTATATTATTATATTCAAAATAAACTATTATACAGGCCGTAGGGATGTGCCAAAGTTTCGACAGTGTTGTCGGCTAATCTAACGGTACTGGTATAGTTAAAAATGTTAATATCATCTCATGGCTAACAGTGTGCTGCGTTATAAGTCACTTTACCAAAAAAAAAAACATCGTTGCTAGGCCTCGCTGGCCTCCCACGAGAGGTTTCACCCCGAGATTTCATTAGTCTCTGCTGAAGCGTCTTATGCCGCATCCTGATTCACGCTCGACATTCGCATTTGTTTGTAACAAAAAAAATAATTTTAATACTTGTGATGCGACAGAATAATTAATAACGTTAATTGTGTCACTAAGATTTCAAAGTTATTCGACTTTAGCTCACAAATAGTAATTAGAAAAAATCCCTTTTACAAAAATCTAAAAAAATACAATTAAAAAAACGAAGGGTTTTTAAAAGCTGTAAACTATAGACGAATAGTAATGCCAAGGGCGAAAAATAAAATACCTTCATATGATCAAAATAACATACGATAGCAACAAAGAGTTGGAACATGACACATGCAAACACTAGGATATTTTATTTCAATGTCCTTGTGTTTACATTGTGGGTTTTTCTCTGTACTTACTCGATAGACAAATGTCTAATAAATGCACATGCGCAGTATTAGGGTATTTTAAGGATGCATTCTACTACGAATGTCTTCCTAAGGACTGAAGATATTTGTGGCTAAACGTCTCAATAAAATATCCTATTACTGCGGATGTGGCTCATTTCACACCTGTCGGTATTTTATATCACATCTTACCCTGCACGCAAAAGTGCTTGAGGGAGCATGATTTAGCACACAGGAGAGAACAGCAACAAGAGTGCTTGAGGGAGCACAATTTAGCACACAGGAGAGAACAGCAACACAAGTCTTACCTCATAGCAACGTTGCTGCCATCTATGATGATAGGTTTGAGCGGCTGCTGCTGTTGCTGTTCCACATCTTCCTTGGTGTCCGTCACGTCATCCGACGAATCTGCGTCTCCATCGCCTCGGGGGACGCTGGTCCCAAGACGTATAAGCTCAGCTAAAAGCTCATCCTTGTCTGGCGTGCCTCCCAGCTTGACCAGCGCCATCTGCACCAGAGACTCGGAGTAACCCAGTTTGACACCAAATTCGACCTGTGAAGCATAGCTGGGACGCAGAACTACCCACGCTAATCCCCCTGGCTGGTCCGCTATTGGACTGCATACCGGGGTACTGACAGTACTGCTGGTCACAGATGTAGCCACTGCAGATGTGTTGGACGCTGGGGTAGACTGTGCTATGGTCATTATGGTAGTGCTGGTGACTGGTGGTGTTACAGCGGTGGTGATAGCTGGGGGTGTCACTGACACAGCTGGTGCTGAACACACTCGCACTACTGGTGATGCACATCTCACGCTGAAATGACTGTTTTTGCCTCCACTGCCTGTACATGGTGTGCTGGTGGACTTTGTGACTCTTGTACCTGTGGTGACAGAGGCTGTAGTTGCTGTTGCTGTAGTGACAGATGCTGTAGTTGCTGTTGCTGTGGTGACAGATGCTGTAGTTGCTGTTGCTGTGGTGACAGATGCTGTAGTTGCTGTTGCTGTGGTGGCAGATGATGTAGTTGCTGTTGCTGTAGTGACAGATGCTGTAGTTGCTGTTCCTGTGGTGACGGAGGCTGTTGTTGCTGCGGTGACGGAGGCTGTGTTGGATGATGCTGTAATGACTGACGGTGTAGTGGATGAGGTGGTAGTGGTAGTGGTGCTTGTAGCGAGGCTGACAGTAGTCGGAGTGATAGTGGTAGCAGCGGCAGTGGTAGTAGAGGTGGTTGTTGCAGTAGTGGTGGTGGTAGAGGGACTATGCAGGGTGACGTACTCTGCGTACTCTGCACACAGAGTGTCAGACACGGTTCGACACACATCTTCATGTTCGTCATCTTCAGTACGTTCACAGGGCTCGAAGTCACTATCATAGCTGCTGTCTTCATTCTCCAGCTTGCGTCTACTTCTGCCCACCACCCCAGGCACGCCCTCGCTGACGATGCAAGGGTCATGCTGGTGCTTATCGATGGGCGGGTGGGCGGCGGTGTGGGTTGGCAAGGGGGGCGGTGAAGGGGCAGCCTGTGGTTCTGCTTCCACCCCGGACATAGCGGTCAGCAGGCACCCGCCCACTACCCCGCGCTCACCCACCACCAGGGGCACCACATCCTGAAATACAACAGATACATTAATATCGAATTCACAACAAAAAGCGTGACTGCAAATATTAAAAAAAAAAAAAAACATTGAAAAGTAAACAGGAAACTCCGAGCACTTTCATGTGTCTTACACAAACATCTTCAGAGGACGAATGTGTCAGCATATGCAGGAGTTCAGATTTTTGTTTATTTTTTTTCACCGCAGTATTTTTTATGCATTAATATACAGAGGTGTAGAGTGTAATATCACATGTTACACCCTCCTAATCTGTTACATTCACATACCACTGCAACACAGGGCAAACATCAGTATTTACATTAATATGATGGGTACACTGAAGACACTACGAACACACAGCGAGGCAGTGAATCGGCTCAGTAGACAAATTTAGCTCACACTTACAGACGTGGCATTGTTAGGTAAAGTAGAAGGTAAACATGACAGAACACTCCACCACACATGGCCAGTGATAACTCGACTGACTAGAAATTTGTGTCCACCAGCCTGTGTTTGTTGGTAGGCAACAGCAGCGTATGGTACACACATATATAATGCACCATATTAACACAATGTACCTCCAGTTACAGCGGGTTCTCTGTCACTACTGACGGAGGTAAGCTCGCAGGATCAACAATACCTTCAACACTGTCCGGCCGAACACAATCTGATCCAGAGATCACAGTTATATCCAGACAATGTCTGTGTTCTCAGAGGTGAGGATACAACCAGGTAAGACTTCTCCCACACACAAATATAAAGGTAAATATAAGAGAAACTGGCGCTTGGGGACCCGGCGTACAGCTTACTGCCTCCCGTAGAAGGTAGTGAAAGTGCTGACGTCAACGCTACGTCACCTATACGTCATTACCACCTTCACTTTCACGATACCTGTAGCATTGTCAACCCTGACTCCGTTTTCTGTTAAAAAAATTCTGACTTTACTTACTTAATAATTCAACGTTCGTAAGAAGAGATGTGTGCTGCTGGGTGTGATTTGAGCTTCAACTCAAATCACACCCAGACCACCGGCCTGGTAGCTAAAGCTCTCGCTTCACACCGTGGGTGTCTGGGTTCGATTCCCAGCGAGGATGGAAACATTGGGTGTGTTTCTTTACACCGGTTGTCTATGTTCACCCATCAGAGCTCTGTTCCACAAGGCACGAGACTACTCGCCCCAATCTTGATAATCCTTACCTCTATATCAGACATAAACAGAGATATACACCACAGCACCGTATCATCCTTTGCGGATGATACTAGGATCTGCATGAGGCTGTCATCTGCTGAGGACGCGGTTAACCTCCAAGAAGATATAACAAAGTTTTCCAGTGGGCAACGGTAAACAATATGAGTTCAATAAGGAACATTCCAAATCTGACTCCGTATGAACAACTGAGGAGATAATAACTAGAACAGAGTCTACTACTGACTCCGGCCATTACAATAAGTCGGAAAAATTACATGTAAGGACTGGGTAGTAGTAATGTCTGACGATCTCACTATTCAAGGATCACAACAGTCACCGATCGCACGGCAAAGAAAATGATAGATGGATAATGAGAACTTCTCAAAACGAGAGAAGTGCACAAGCCATGATGATCCTTTTCAAATCACTGTTCTCTCTAGGCTGGAATACTTGCTACAACTATAACATGCTCCATCACATAACAAGCAGTGTGAAATCGCAGATCTAAGATGACTGAGATCCTTTACTGCACGTAATGAAGGTTCTGTCAATGTCACCTTAACTACTGGGAACGCTTGGAAGCACTTGACTGTACTCGTTGAACGCAGGAGGGAGAGATATATCATAATCTACACTTGGAAAATCTGGAAGGAATGGTCCCAAATCTGCACACAGAAATCAACTCCCTACGAAAGTAAAAGACTGGCAGGCGATGCAAAATGCCGCCAATAAAAATTAGGGGGGCCATTGGTACACTAAGAGAAAACACCATAAGTGTCCGGGGCCCAAAACTGTTCAACAGCCTCCCATCAAGCATTAGGGGAATTGCCAATAAACCCCTGGCTGCCTTCAAGAGAGAGCTGGACAGATACCTAAAGTCAGTGCCGGATCAGCCGGGCTGTGGCTCGTACGTCGGACTGCGTGCGGCCAGCAGTAACAGCCTAGTTGATCAGGCCCTGATCCATCGGGAGGCCTGGTCGTGGACCGGGCCGCGGGGGCGTTGATCCCCGGAATAACCTCCAGGTAACCTCCAGGTAATCAGTAAAAATGGGTACCTGGAAGTTAGTCGACTGGTGTGGGTTGCATCCTGGGGAAAAAAACTTACTTAATCTGCCCGAAATGCTCTGCATAAGAAGCGGCTTTCTATATAGTAATATGTCATTGATATCAGCTAGGACTGTATACCTTGTATATGTACTTGTAACGGCTTGACAAAACTCCTGGAGAGCGAAACGTTGCCACAATAAAATGTCACATTAGTTGCACTTGTGTCCTTTTACTTTACATATTGTCGGTAATTCTGTCAACATTATTACAGAAATAAAGACATTAGTGCTACAGTGTACCTACCTGGGTCACCACCAGGTGATGCACCTCTCTCACAGTACGAAGAACGTACACACACTAAGCTACATAAATGTGCTCATTCTGGCTTCTCTGTAACATGTACATGAATGGTATACAGTACCGACAAGATGATGATTAGACACATGTGCAACATCTGGGTATCTTTATTGTAGACGTTTCGCCACCCATTGGCTTCATCAATACAAATTCAAGAGCATGAATGGAAGACAGTAGAGCTATGTACAAAAGATGAGGTAACCAGACCCAAGGCTGAGGGACTGATTACCTTACCTTTGGTATATAGCTCAGCTGTCTTCCATTCATGTCCTTGAATTTGTACCGATAAAGCCACTGGATGGCAAAACGTCTATAATAAAGATACAAAGATGTTGCACATGTGTCTAATTTTCATTTCTGTGACTTGAATAAGTCCAGTGTGGACGAAAAGTCGTCAAAATATCACATTATACTGCATTATGCTGGATCCAACACACACAGCTACGCCAAGATTCGTAACACTACTCTTAAAGTTGTCTTTCTCACGCATGCCATTTAACAGTGACTGGTGTATTGCGTGCTTTATATATAATACGAATAATTAAAAAATCAAACTAACATTACTGGAACAATTCACAAATAACCAACGCTTCAAAGGCAAAACTTTTGACGACATTTCGGCTCATCCGGAGTCATTGTCAAGTCACAAATGAGTGAGGAAACAAGAGATCATAAAACAGGTAAGGAAGAGGTAGGATTTACTAGATTTACAATTATATATTCATTTGAAAAGTTAGTGTACCTGAAGACTGCAACAGACAAGGATGGAGTTAATACCTGCAGGTAGTGTCAACCTCTGTATGTTAGAAGTGATCAAGGTCCCAGGACCGAAACGTTTTCTAATAAATATGATACAGTGTTTGCTTACGTGTCTTTCTAAACCAACTTCTCGGTATTTATTACCAAGGTTTATACCAGTGTCAACTATCCAGTGTGTAGAGTACTGGCGTGGAGTGTACTTGACACTTGCAAGTAGTGTAAATCTGGAGTGGAGTGAACTGTCTCACTGGATAAGTCACACTGTACCTCGAAAAACATTTTAGCCTTTACTCTTCTACACGGATATCGTTGACGATAATTCTTGTACAGCTTACGTCCTTTATAAGGAACAGCAAGATTAAGGAGTCGAGGTAAAACATATGTACATTGATCAAGGCAAAGAAGAATTTCGCCAAAAGTGACTTCTAAAGACAAAAGAGTTTATTTGTGGAAAAAACGTTTCCTGGACGTCTTGATAAGTAGCATAGCAGTTGCATTAAAGGGGTGAGGAGAGTGCCTAGCGCTTGCCAACTGAGCTGCAGATGAATGGAACAAACAGCCAACCTGCGTCATTGAAGCAAATGCCTTGAGTGGTTTTAAAAATAGGTTAGATATACGAGCGAAAAATGGCTGGGTGCAGACAGGAGTTGCCAGACCTACTATAGTGCTCCTCACGTTCTAATACTGTAGGGAATAAGAAACTTCAAGAATAGGTACATAAATATATAATAAAACTTAAAAAAAAATCACAATGATAAAAATAGAGGATAAATTCAAAGAGAGACTGGTAGGGTACATACCATATATTCTTGCCACAGTGTACAGGGGGCGGAGCCAAATTGTGTAAAAACCCCGTCTCTCCCATATAAAATTCCACTATATCCCGTGTAAAAATAATCAAGTTACCAAAAGCTCCAACTGTGGGTCATCATATGACTAAGACCCGGATTAGGAAACATTTGTCCTGTTTCCTGACAAACCTACCTAACCTAATCAAGACGTCTTTTAGCCTCTTCTTCATACTAGACTGTCACCCCTGAGTCCTCCTGCGTGACTTCTGGAGCCGCACACGACACCTGCAGTGGTACTGCCCAATATATTCTGCCCTCAGGGCAAAATAATGCTACTGAATGACGGGGATAGCACACATCCTTATTAACTGTTATACTGGCTGAGTGACTGGTCCACCAGCTGAGAGACAACACATCCTTATAAACTGTTATACTCGCTGAGTGACTGTATTCCTGCATCACTAACCAGGCTTGACAGTTAACTTAGCCCGCCTCACACCCTCCACCTTTCTCTCATGATTCAACTGTACATTTGTGTAAAACTGATCCACTGTACACTCACGAACACCTTACATCACCTCTGAACTTCACTGTGGCTGGATGTACAGAGGTAATGGCACAAGCAGTAGTACTCCTGTACAGTAGGTTACCTCTACTCGCGTCCGCGGGCCACAGCCCCCACGGCCCGGTCCCATACCTTTATACATTTGAAGAGCTCCCAGAGTTTAACCACTGTCGGAGCCCGGCCAAAGGCCAGGCTCGTCTGGTGATTGCCTAGTCAACCTGGCTGTTGCTGCTGGAAGCCCGCTGCCCCACATATCCATTACAGCCTAATTTATCTGGCACCTGGTGAAGATACTTGCCCCAAA